CTAAATCGGAACTGATTTCCACAAATCTTAGCACACATCATTCTAGGCTTAATTCAGTACGCTGTACCAAATTTCGTTCAAATCGAAGGAGCTATATCTAAATCTGAACCGATTTTTCCCAATTTCAATAGGTTTCGTCCTTGGGCCAAATAAATGAGCTGTGCCAAATTGCATCCAATTCGAATCAAAAATGCGACCTGCACTTTGTTTACAATTTAACATGTACAGTTAGATGGACAAACGGGCGGGCGGCGGACATGCTTAAATCGACTTAAAAAGTGATTCTATGGATATTCGCAAAAGGAACTATGTGTCTATCTCGTTTCCTTTTGCCTGTTACAAACATACGCACAAAGACATAATACCATGAACCACAGTGTGGTGAAGGGTATAAAAATCCACGCCTGTTGATAGGCCTTGACAAAATATTTTTAAAAAATCCACTCGTATTAAAATGCCTTGACAGTCATTCGAAAAAAATATTTGTTTTGAATCGACGCCTCTTTATAACCCTTACATATTTTTTTAAATCTCCTCCTGCGGATCTGTCATGTGTTAATTGTAGCGTTATATTCTCACATATCTCCCCCTCCACCCAGTGTTAATTATTTGATAATTTCAGGAAATTAAAAACATATTTTTTTCTGTAATTAAATTGAACTTCAAGTGGTCATCAGCAAATATTTTTTTTTGAAATATAAAAATTCTTTTAATTTTTTTCACACAACCAACCAAATCAAATGAAACAAAAAAATTAGTCCAATCTCTAAAAATATAAAAAGCGAATATTTCAAAATACAAAGGTGAGGGTGTGGTGTGTGTGTGGGAGGAAGTGGAGCCGGCTGGCGGCAGGGGAGAAAACTCACATGAGTATGATTAGCACCGAAAAAAATCTATTGTGAAAATAAGAAAAACACAACAGCAGCAGCAGTGGCAAAAAATGCTGAAAATAAAAACACGACACGTTGTTGTCGTCGATGATGAGTGGGACAGACAGACAGACATACGTACGTACGGACATGATATGCGGACACCACAGAGTAGCTGCAACATTAAAAAGAGGATGTTAATGAGATTTGATGATGAGGATGCTGTTGGTTGTTATTTGTTGTTGTGTTTATGTTGTTGTTCCCTGATGATATACAGTGGTGGTCACGCAATTAAAACATTTATTGTGGTAAACATTTTTTGATCAGCCCTCGATTCATTTGAAGTATTTTTGAAAATTTTTTAACTCAGAACACTTCGATATACTGCACTTAAGAGATTTAGTGTGATAATAGAAAATTATTGCATGCAATTTTTCCATAAATAACGGTTTTTATGAAAATACATCGACTTTGAAGTGGCCATATAATTAAAACATTGTGTAATTTTTTACTTTGCTGCATTTTTTGAACATGTTTTTTAAAAAATCACTTAAATTTAGGTATGTTATGCAAATTAAGCATCGATAAAATCATTTACAGAAAAAAATTTTGAAAAAAATCTGTAAAATTTATCAAAATTGCCAAAAATTTTGTACAGTACACTTAACATTCAGAAAATCACCTTTATTATAGAAAATAAAGGTTCGAATGCATCAGAAATTGCTAGAATTAGTAGAAAACAATAAATAATTCTCAAAATAAATACTTATTTGAAATAATAACTCAAAAAAATGGCAATTAACTTAAAGGAACGATTCAACTTCGATAGCCTTTATTGAAGAAGACCGGAATATTTTTGCAGTATGTGATAAAATATCGATCGATATTGGAATTTATTATATCAAATCGATTGTTCGAGTAGTACAGAATATATTTTATCAAAAAATATATCAGTCACAACGAAACGAACAGAGATCAACGCCTATGTTGACGAGTAAAAGTTTCTGGCACATGGCAGTATTTTTGATGCTCAACACAAGACTTTAAATATTTGTCAAATTGTAAATTTTTTTCTTCTTTAAGGCTAAAATAGATTAAATGGACATTATACTATTCAAAAAAATATTATTATGGAAAAATATTGTCATGTTCAATAGATTTTAAGGGTCAAGAGTTAACCATCAAACATGCTGCTGTGTACCAGAAACGTTTTCTCGTCAACATAGGTGTTGATCTCTGTTCGTTCTGTTGTGACTGATATATTTTTTGATAAAATATATTCTGTACTACTCGAACAATCGATTTGATATAATAAATGCCAATATCAATCGATATTTCCTCACATACTGCAAAAATATTCCGGCCTTCTTCAATAAAGACTATCGAAATTGAGTCGTTCTTTTAGGCTAATTCCCATTTTTTCAGTTTTTATTTCAAATATTTATTTATTCTGAGAATTGTTTATAGTTTTATACTAATTCTAGCAATTTCTGGTGCATTCGGAACATTATTTTCTATAATAAGGGATATTTTCTGAATGTAAGGTGTACTGTACAAATTTTTGGCGATTTTGATAGATTTTACAGATTTTTTCAAAAAATTTTATCAGTAAATGACTTTATCGATGCTTAGTTTACATAATTTAACTAAATTAAAGAGCTTTTTTAAAAATATTTTCAAAAAATACAGTAAAGTAAAAAATCACACAATGTTTTAATTATATGGCCACTTCAAAGCCGATGTATTTTCATAAAAACAGTTATTTATGGAAAAATTGCATGGAATAATTTTCCATTTTCACACTAAATCTCTTAAGTACAGTATATCGAAGTGTTCTGAATTAAAAAATTTTAAAAAATACTTCAAACGATTCGAGGTCTGATCAAAAAATGTTTACCACAGTAAATGTTTTAATTCTGTGACCACCACTGTATATAAATAAATGATTGACTGATATTGTTTTTTTTCATCTTAGTCGGTGAATATAAATTTCTAGATATAAAATATTCATATAAATATATATATTTTTTTATTTGTGGATGGAGGAAAGAAATATTCATCTTTTTGATTACGAAAAGAATGTGATGATGATACCGCTGTTGGCATGAGACGCCCGCTCACTCATACATTTTCCAAATGGCAAATAATTTGTATAATATGCTACTGCTGTTGCTGCTATTCCATAGTGTTTGGTGGGGCGAAAAACAAAAACACATCACAACAAACAAATAAACTGTGAATCATTCGATAGGGGTGGCTCTTTGAGAAGAAAACAGTGTTTTTTATTATTTTTCTTTTTTATCGTATAAAAAAAGTTCGGAATTTGTTGTGTGTTGGCTGAGCAGATTTGATTTTATTTTTTTCGATTGGTTTCAAGGGTAAGTTGTATTGTAGTTTTTTATATGTTTTTTTTTTTGAAGGAGATTAATGTGATATTAATATGAATTAGTTTTTAGCAAATACATATATATTTGAAAAAGTTATTTTTTAAATAAAAACAAGGATTTAAAAAATTATTAAAAAAATCTACGCCTTATGAGGCATTGAAAACATATTTTTAAACCAGTAAGGAAAGTAGTAAAGTCGGGCTGGCCGACTTTGGTGCCCTATTTACCTAAAACCGATTTTCACGAAATTTAACACAAATCGTTCTAGACTTAATTTAGTACGCTATGCCAAATTTCGTGCAAATCGAAGGATATATAGGTGCTTTGGGCGCCATTTACATAAAATCGGACTCAATTCATTACGCATTACACTCAAAGCGACTTTGGTCCATTATTTACCTAAAATCGGACGGAAATAAATATGGGTGCTATACCTAAATCTGAACCAATTTAAAGAAATTTAACACAAATCGTTTTAAACTTAATTCTGTATGCTATGACAAATTTCGTGTAAATCGAAGGATATATAGAGACTTTGGTGCACCATTTACAAAAAATCGGATGAAAATATATAAATCTTAACCAATTTTCCCGAAGCTTGACACACGTCATTCTAGACTCATTTCAGTACGCTATGCCAAATTTCATGCAAATCGAAAAATATATAGGTGCTTTGGGCGCCATTTACATAAAATCGGACGAAAATATATATGGGAGCTATATCTAAATCTGAACGTATTTTCACGAAATTTAATACACATCATTCTAGACTTAATTTAGTACGCTGTGCCAAATTTCGTGCAAATCGAAGGATATATACGGACTTTGGTACACTATTTACCTTAAGTCGGACGAAAAATATATATGGGAGCTATATCTAAATCTGGGCAGATTTTGAGAAAACTTAGCAAACATTATTCTAGACCTAATTCAGTACACTATGCCAAATTTCGAGTAAATCGAAGGATATATAGGGACATTGATGTACCATTTACAAAAAATCGGACGAAAATATATGTGAGCTATATCTAAATCTTAACCGATTTTCCCTAAAACTTGACACACGTCATTCTAAACTCAATTCAATACGCTATGCCAAATTTCGAGTAAATCGAAGGATATATAGGGACTTTGGTACACCAATTACATTCAATTGGACGAAACTATATATGGGAGCTATATCTAAATCTGGACCGATTTTCAGGAAACTTAACACACATCATTCTGGACCTAATTCAGTACAATATACCAAATTTCGTGCACATCGAAAGACTTAATTCAGTACGCTATGCCAAATTTCGTGCAAATCGAAAGTTGTATATGGACTTTGGTGCACCATTTACCTTAAATCGGGAGCTACATCTAAAACTGAACCGATTTTTCCCAATTTCAATAGGTTTCGTCCTTGGGCCGAATAAGTGACCTGTGCCAAATTTCATCCAATTCGTATTATAAATGCGACCTGTAATTTGTTTACAATTTAACATGGACAGATAGACGGATAGACGGACGGACATGTATAAATCGACTCACCACAGTGTGGTGAAGGGTACAAAAATCTACACCTCATATGGACCTTGGAAAAATATTTTTTAAAAAATCTACGCCTTATTTGGATTTTGGAAAAAAATAATGGTTTTTTAATCGATTCGTTCTCAGTGAGAAAGAAGTTTTTTACTAAAACAAACTATTTCAAATAGTTTTACTTATTTTAAATTCATTTATTTCTGAAAAAATTAATACTTTAATTTCCCAATATGGGAACATTAAACAAACTATTCTCGATATATCCCCGCGTTGCATTCATTTTATACTCTTCCCATTCAATATCATCCATTTCCCGTTCGCCATTTAACACATCATGTTTGAAATTCCCCGGGAATGTATAATCGCCCATATCTTGTTCCTCCACCGAATTCGCTGCATTAACATCATTGGCAATTTCCACTGGATCATCACTAAAATAAGTCCAATTATCATCATAGGGATCATGCATATTTCCCGCCGCATCATATTGATTGTAGTTATTAAAATTATAATCCAATTTTCCCCATTGATCGATATGACGCATTAGAGGATCTCCCCGATGTTGGGGTTGTAAAATAGTAATCGATGCTGGTTGTGGTGGTCGCATTCCTCCTCCGCCCATCATTGTTTTATTTGGATTTTTATAACCCAAAGTTGGCAGATCGGTCCATTTGCCCTGGGCAAATGGTGATTTTTCATTTGTCGTCACAAAGAACATTCCCTTGGTGGTTTTCTTGGCATTCTCTCCAGCCTCCAATAGATAATTTGTTTGCGGACACATACCGAGGAGATATGAGAGATAGGAACTACATGACCAACCCCAAAAGCCTTTGGTTGTACGTATCGATTCGAGATAATAATCAATTGCTCGATGATGGCTGCAGGAGAAGGGATCTGCAAGGGGAAAAGGAATAAATATTAGAACAGATGGACCTTGGAAAAATTATTTAAAACATTTAAGCCTAATACAGATCTTAAAAAAAATTTAAGCATTCAAAAAAATCTAGCCCTATCTTTATGGGTAACTTACTCCAAGGATTATCTGTCGCACATCCTGGCTGTACTATGCCACCATTAATATAAAAATCGGCATGGCCACATCTCTCCAGTTTACCCTGAATCATGGCATTCGTGTGAATAACATCAACATATTCGGCATCTGAGGGATCCAATTTATTATCTTTCGACGTGCCCACAAACAATGGCATGGCGGGATCTAGAGCTATAAATAATATATTTTAAAAATATTTCCATTACATCAAACGTCCTCCCACTTACCTGTTATCCTTGGCAATAGGAATGAATCCAAACTGTTGGCAATATAATTTGTCAAATGACCGCCCAAAGAAAATCCAATAACATGAATATCTTTGCTACCCATATCCATAATACGTTGCACCAATTGGGCAACACAGGCGCCCGAGTGGCGTATATTATGCACCGCACTGACATAACATGGTCCAATGGCCAGTTTACTCCAATCCACATAGAAAATGTTATAGTCGCCCTTGGCTAGATATTCTGAAAGGGGAAAAAGTCGATTTAATAAATTTCTTCGGGAGTGGAGCGGTGTGGGAGACCACTTACCATTTTTCATCATATACAGTGGGTGCAGAAACATATCGGCATTATAACCGTGTATGAGAATTTTACTTGGATGCCGACTATCATAAAATGATTGGGAAATATTGGAGGCTTCCAGAGTTTTATCTACATAAATATATTGACGATCCGAAGGATTACGTCTGGTATATAAATAAAATGTTATATCCTTATCGGGACATGTACGATCTATAGACCATACACATGGTCCAACTTTTATATCACGACTTGGCTTTGGCATCATTGATGTTGACGTTGGCGGCTCTGTTGTACTGGGAACTTCTGTGGCCTGGTGCAGTGATGCATGAGGTATAGGTTTAGGTGTAGTCGACACTTTTGGAGAGGAACTAAAAATGGATTTGACTCGAGCTGTGTGGGCCAGCGGGAATGCTGAAATATTAAAAAAGGAAGGGGGTTAATTTCAAAGGTCATTTTTAAATCAATAAAAAAGGTTCGATGATTTTTTGAATAACAAAAATTATTTTTTAAGTAATTTTCTTAGAAACCCATATTAGGACTAGATTTTTTAAATACTTTTTTTACAAGATCTATAAAAGGGGTATATATTTAAATAATTTTTTCCAAGGTCCATATAAGGCGTAGACTTTTTAAATAATTTTTTCAAAGGTCCATATGAGGTCCACATGAGGCGTAGATTTTTTAAATAAATTTTTCAAAGGTCCACATGAGGCGTAGATTTTTTAAATCAATTTTTCCACATGAATTTTTCAAAGGTCCATATGAGGTCCACATGAGGCGTAGATTTTTTAAATAAATTTTTCAAAGGTCCATATGAGGTCCACATGAGGCGTAGATTTTTTAAATAAATTTTTCAAAGGTCCATATGAGGTCCACATGAGGCGTAGATTTTTTAAATAAATTTTTCAAAGGTCCATATGAGGTCCACATGAGGCGTAGATTTTTTAAATCAATTTTTCCACATGAATTTTTCAAAGGTCCATATGAGGTCCACATGAGGCGTAGATTTTTTAAATCATTTTTCCAAGGTCCATATGAGGCGTAGATTTTTAAACAATTTTTTGAAGGTCCTTACACATAAGGCGCAGATTTTTTAAACAATTTTTTTGAAGGTCCTTACACATAAGGCGCAGATTTTTTAAACATTTTGTTGTAGGTCCTTACACATAAGGCGCAGATTTTTTAAACAATTTTTTTGAAGGTCCTTACACATAAGGCGCAGATTTTTTAAATGATTTTTTCCCAAGGCCCACACTAGGCGTAGACTTTTTTAATCACGTTTTACGACTGAAGATATTTATTTTTCAGTGTAGATATTTCATTTTGAATGCAAAAATCAGTTACTGTTATTGTTTTGGGGAAAAACAACTATTTAAAAACTTGTAACCCTGTGTAATTACTGTCTATCATTCCCTGAAATCAATAAATGCCTTAAAATATTCAATATAAAATCTAAAAAATGCCTACATTACAGCGTTGCCCGCTCATTTCCTTATTAATTTAAATAAAATTATTACGAACACGTTTATAACAATGTATGTGTGTGTGTGTTTGTATCCGTACATTGTATGGCTGAGTGTATTACGCGTCGTGTTGCTGCACTATTCGTACATGACCTACGACGATAAGTTTTAAACAACAACAACAGCAAGAAACCGAAGAAAAGAGAAAACTTTCTATTTCTAAAATAAAATATTGCGGGGGAGTGTAACAATTTACGATATTCAATATTTTGTTTATTGAATTGAATTTTTTTTAAACCAAAAAAATACTTGGAAAATACTATAAATCTCAGAAAAATATAAATCTACCGGTGTTCATATAGGTCATTGGTGGTAAGATTTAAAAAAAGTAGCCACTTTGGATTCTGAGAAGATACAAAAATCTAACGTGATTAGAATGCTGGAGAGATGTTGGGATCTCTGATAAGAGGCTGGCACACAGCAAATGAGTAAATTTCTCGGTTCGTTACTAAATTGTTGACAGGGAAAGAATAAACGATACGTTCATAGAAAATTGGTATTCAAAATAAAAATAGAGTTTTAATTTTTTATTCGTATTCGAAAGGTGTGCCTATTTTGTTATCAAAGTCTGAAGATTTTTTCTCTACAGATGTCATAAATATTGGAATTTAAATTTTGAAATATTCCTAATTTAGAAAAAGCTTCAGATTTTTCTTTAAAGAAAAATTAGGACAAATCTGATTTCGTAATAAGAAACTAGTCGTTGATTTTTTAAAATAATTTTTTCCAAGGGGTAGGTTATTTAACTAATTTATTTATTTTACAAGGGGTAGATTATTTAAATAATTTTTGTCCAATGTCCATACAGGGCGTAGATTTTTTAAATTAATTTTTTCAAGGTCCATGGAAGGCATAGATTTTTTTAACTAATTTTGTATATAAGTTCCATACAAGGCGTAGATTATTTAAATAATTGTTTCCAAGCTCCATGGAAGGCGTAGATTTTTTAAATAACTTCGTATCTAAAGTCCATACAAGGCGTAGAATATTTAAACAATTGTTTCCAAGGTCCTTACAAGGCGTAGATTTTTTAAAGAACTTTGTTTCTAGGGTCCATACAAGGCGTAGATTTTTTAAAGAACTTTGTTTCTAAGGTCCATACAAGGCGTAGATTTTTTAAATATGTTTCTAAGGTCCATACAAGGTGTAGAATATATAAACAATTGTTTCCAAGATCCTTACAAGGTCCACACAAGGCGTAGTATATTTAAACAATTGTTTCCAAGGTCCTTACAATGTCCACACAAGGCGTAGTATATTTAAACAATTGTTTCCATGGTCCTTCCAAGGCGTAGATTTTTTAAATATTTTTTCAAGGTCCTTACAATATGTAGATTTTTTTAATATTTTTTTCCAAGGTCCTTACAAGGCGTAGATTTTTATACCCTTCACTCCACTGTGGTTTCTTTTGAGAATATGCGTAGAATGACTTTCTTATTCGATTTATGCTTGTCTGTCCGTCCGCGTCCGTCTGTCCATGTTAAATTTTAAACAAAGTACAGGTCTCATTTATGATCCGAATTGGATGAAATTTGGAATAGCTCATTTATTTGGCCCAAGGACGAACCCTATTGAAATTGGGAAAAATCGGTTCAGATTTAGATACAGCTCCCATAGATATTTTCATCCGATTTAATGTAAATGGTTCACTAAAGTCACTACATATCCTTCAATTTGCACGAAATTTGGCATAGCGTACTGGATTGAGCCTTGAATGATATGTGTAAAATTTCTTGAAAATCGGTTCAAATTTAGATATAGCTCCCATATATAGTTTCGCCCGATTTAATGTAAATGGTTCACCAAAGTCCCTATATATCTTTTAATTTGCACGAAATTTGACACAGCGTAATGAATTAGGTTTAGAATGATCTGTGTCAGGTTTCCTGAAAATCGGTTCAGATTTGGATATAGCTCCCATATATATTTTCGTCGGATTTAATGTAAATGGTGCACCAAAGTCCCTATATATCTTTCGGTTTGCGCGAAATTTGGCATTATGCAAAATTTTACATAACCTACTGTAGATAGTATAGCTAAACGTGTGAAGTTTTGTTGGAATCCGTTAAGATTTAGATATAGCTTCCATATATAGTTTCGGAACAAAACCTGCTGAAATCGGTTCATATTTGGATATAGCTTCCATATATCGATTCATCCGATTTTAAGTAAACGTTGCACCAAACTCCTCGTGTTTGTAATATTGACATGAAATTTTACGCAACGTACAAAATTGAGCTTATTGATATTTGCTTTAAATCGATTTACATAATTTTGTCCCATTGTAACAAACGAAAGACATGTTTGTGGATTGATCTAAGTCGGTTCACATTTAGATAAAGGTCACATATGTTAGGTCATCCAATTTCATGTTCATTTCCAATTTCATGTTAATGGCCCTTCTGTTAGGATGCATTCGTTTAGGATACATACCCATAGTGGTGAAGGGTATCATATAGTCAGCTCCATCCGACTTTACTACTTTACTTACTGGTTTAAATTATTTTCCAATTCTACTTATGTCATACTTACCCAAAATAATTGTAAATAATATCCAATAAATATTTGAATTAATTTTGAATAACTTTTTTGATTTCAACATTGTTGGGAGTTTTTTTTATAATAACATTAATTGATATAGGAATAAAACTTAGCACTCTAGGATAGGACACACTTGTTTCAATATGAATATTAATTTAGAATATATCATATGATTGACATATTTATTTTTTCATTAACCGCGATCTTCAATATTACAACATTCGTTATTTAAACAAATTACAAATAATTTTCCTTTCTTTTGTAAGTGAAACACGACGCCGCTTATCGAACGAAGAAAAGTGATTAAAAATTTTAAACTTCCGTTTTTTGTCTGCCTTTTTCGAAATACACCACGCACTACGCACGCGCACTCACACTCAAAAATAATTGTGTACACACTAGACGGTCAATATTTCAACTGATATTGAATAGCGACAATTTCTTTGGTCTAACCATTTTGTTGATGGCTTCGACGAAGGTAAGCTTAATCGTAGCAGCAAATTAATATGGACAATGTTTTGTTGACGAACATCGTCATCATCACCACAATCATCAGTAGTCGTCCCCGTCGTCGTCACTTCCACACTTATGGAATTATAAGAAGTGAGAGTTTTAAGCGTAATTCGTAATTATTTGTTGTCAACATATTACCTAGCTTAGCTAACTTAGCTGTCAACCTACCTATCTATCTACCTGCCCACCGACCACTTAGAAGTTATGTATGAGACCACAATTGGCTGGCTGGTGGATGTAAAGCGGGCAGTGTACTCGTATTTGGTGTGGGTTGTGCGTTTTTTTGTGCGTCTAAAATTTAAAAATTTTAATACTTTTGGAATATTCCCTTAAATCTCCAGCAAATACAATACGGTACACAGAAGTCTTTTTTTCGTTTCAGTTTTTAATATGTGGAAAGTGTAAGTTATTATGATGTGAAATTAAAAAAGAAGATTTACGCAGATTTAATTGCAACGACCTCCATTTGCCGAATATACATACATATGTATATTAGAATTAATTAAATTGTCTACAAATTTCGATGAGAGATTTAACATTTTTTTGTGGGTCATTGGTATTCACAACGACACTGGTCAACAGCATTTTTGATATGTTAAAAATATGTGGAGACCAACCTTAGTTTTATTTAGACTAAATTCAAATCCACCATGGCGTGGAGTGCAAAACGTTTTTTGTTTCGTTTGAAACACTTCGACAAAATCAGCATAAGTTCTTGATTTAGCCATGTCCGTTTGTCTATCGAAATAGAGTTCGCAACATTTAGGATAGTGCTTTGCAGTTTTGCAGCCGCATTGCTAATACTCCGGAGTTGTTTGGTATCGAGTAGGAGAT